ACCTTTTCATGTTTGGCGACAGTTTCACATACTGGGTTATTTTGTAAACACTGTACACAAAGAATTTCATTTAAGTCGTAGCAGCCACTCACGCGACACAGTGCGCCGGACACCTTGTTTGTGCCGTCCACGCACTGGCTCGTTGACCCCCGAGGCAGCCCCGCCGGGTGGGCGCTGCCGCCTCACTGCTGTCTCCTTCGCGAAGGCGGAGATGAGTCATCTCAGGGAGGAGGAGCAACTTCCGCAGCCCATGCCAGGCTGCAGACCTAAGTCAGAAGTGCGGTGTCACCCTGGGAATAGAAGGAGATATAGGACAGAACAGAAAAAATGTACCCAAGGGCGGGAAAGGAGTCCTCACACTACATTAAATCACGTAAACCAAAGCACACAATTTGCTTTATTTTATTGATCTGAATAAAGAGGCTATGTGCAGCGAAGTGTGACATAAACAGGCTACCATGCAGGCCCTGCAGAGATGGAAGGGATGTGCAGTGACTAAAGCATGGGAATAAAAGCCAGGAGCTGCAGCCAGAGCTTGCAAGGGAACAGGTTCAGGACAGGACACGTGATTTGTAGGATTATTTCACAATATTCCCCCAAAATGCCAAATGCAGAGGAGTGTGGGAGGTCTGTCCGCACACCGAGATGCAAAGCGTCCACTTGAGGGCCTGGGTCCCTCGGGAGCACCCCTGGAGGCCTGCAGCCTACAGTGGTGCCTCACACGGATCCGTATCAAGGATCTGCGAGGCCGCAGTGGGAGCCAGAAGGTCCTCAGTGCGGGGCGAAGGATCGGTGCAGGCAGGCTGAGGGATCCGAGCGGGAGCCAGGAAGTCACGCTCAAGGGAGGCCCAGAGCTGCCCTGGAAAGAACCACAGCCGTCCTCAGCGACAGCAAGGACCCGAGCTCTCTGGACGATGAGGACAGCTGAGCGCATGTCAGGAAACCAGCATGACAGGCGCCTCCAGCATCAGCAGCAGCACCATCTTCCCCTCCAGGTCTCCTTCTGTGTGGTGGGCAGCAACCTCCTGGGGGGGGCCCTCCGCACCCAGCACCACGCTGGTCCAGTTCAGCCGGTTGCTACAAGCTGACCGTCGGGTAATCCACCACACCAGAACGTACAAAACCTCTTGCTAATGAGTAATACATGACATTAAAGCTAGTTTAAAAAATGGCCCCAAGTCTGCAGAGGTAATTTACAGGGCAAGAAACTCACAAGTGTAGCAAGCATAGCCAGAGCAGTGCAAAGGAAAGCAATTCTGAGTGTCACCTTGCTTGTTCAACTACCAGAGACCAGAAGCAGCATCGTGCCAGGAGCTGGTGGGCACGCAGGGAAAGAGCCTGGTGCGTGACAGACTGGGCTCGTTTGCTTCTTCCAAGCCTGGATGAGCACACTGCAGCATTATTTTCACAAGCAGAGAGTTGGAGACAACCTTGGTGCCTCTTTCTGGAAGAGCAGATCTGTAGAACACGGAAGACACATTCTGTGAAGTACTCTGCAGCAGGCAAAAGGGATAGGCTGTCCTACATGGCAACAGGGATGATCTTCCCAACCGAGTGCTATGCTAAAAAAGTAAAGAACAGACCACACTGACCTATCTGAACAATTCTACACACCACACAGCAGCACGTAAATTTCACCATGCACAGAAGAAAATGATACATGTTAAGCACTCTGGAATGGGCCTCTGGTTTGCTCACGATGCAGAAGTTGGTACCAAAGTTGCCTTTCCACTGAAAGCAGGAGGCCGCTGTTGGCAGGTCTGTGGCAACAGGAAGCAGGCGGTCATTATCCGTGAGGAGATGGTGGCATGGGGGGTGGCTTCCTCCCTGACCCTGAGCCTCGGCCCAGGGACCCTCGCCTGCTCCGGTGCAGGGAGGCGGGCGCAGGCAGAGCTGTGGAGGAGCGCAGCGGCCACTG